GTGTCATTTCCACTGTAAGTTTGCTTGCTTAGCTGATGTTTTGTCGCTTCACTACCTGCTCAGACCTCTCATTATTTGCATCACTAGAGCTGGGAAGGTTTGCCCGCTCTCTGGTCTAGATGATTTTGTTTAGTAACCTAAAAAAAAACAGTGAACAAGTAAAAGTTTGGGTCATTCATTTGCTGGTTGGTTTAATGGACTCCTCAGTAGTTGGCAAACTTTGTTCCCCTCTTGCCCACCTCCTGGAACTTCAATTTACATCACCTAGATCATAGGTTTTAAAAATTGTTGTGAAAATTGTATCTTCTGATTTGGAAATTATGTTTCTGAATGCAAAATTGAAGATGGGAGCTGGAATTTCCAGCTTACCTATTTCACTTACCCCACTCAGAGGAAATGCAGAAATAAGTTAAGTCAGTTTGTGGTTAAGTCTGGGCTTTCTTCACAGAACTGTGAGAGAAGAGGCATCACTGGCTGTCTCTGTGAGTTTCTGCTTGATTTTAATTGGAGATGTTTACCTTTTCTACTGGAGGGAGCATTAAATCCAGTGCCTAGTATCCCCCATTCAGGTTTTGAAGACTAATGAACAGTTTTATCACCCATGCTGATTGAATGGAAATGTGCTGACCAATAATAGTACACAGTTACTTTATTGGCAATAAGGAGCATTTCTTTATTTTTTTCAGTGGTGTAATAAACCAGAGTTGCTCACTTCATAATACTAAGTGTTTGAAAACTTCTCTATTTATCAGGCAGCTAGCTCTGGTTGTTCAGGTAGTATTGCTCAATGCTGTRCTGAGGTTAAACTCTTATTTTATGCTGAACCTGGAACATGAATTAACCTGTTTGTACAAGAACTTCGAATTAGCCAGGAGTTGTTAAGGAARTGTGAATAGTGTGGTGAGTCTTGACTATGCTGAAACTTCTAGATTTCTTAAGTTTAGAAATTTTTTGTTTCTTATCAGATAAACTTATTTTGCATCCTTTGCTCACTTACAAGCCACAGATGCAGTGGTGAAGAAAAGTTTTGTTGTAGAGAACAGGCTGTTTAAAAAAAATCATCATCATCATCATCATCATCATCATCATCATCATCATCATCATCATCATCATCATCATCATCATCGTCACAATAAGCTGTGGTTTGTCTGTCATTTCAGCTGTCCCTTCAATAAAAGCTTTTACATGTTAAACAAAACAAGCCAAAATCTGATCACAGGAAGGTACCTTTGCTTTATGTTACTAGGCAAATTATTTTGTTTGCATAGAATATCGAAATAATTTCAAGTAAGTATTCTAATAAAAATGTAGTTTACAAAAACTGTTTGGGAAAGTATTTTGTCCCCTTGTGGCCAAGAATTTTTCAAATTAACTGAAATAGAAAGAAAAAATTGTATTTAAGGAATTACTGTTTCCAGTTACCTGGAGACAGATCATGTTTTCCTTCTGCTATGGCAACAAGAACACGTGAAGTACAGTACCCCAATAACCTGGAGTTCTGCCACGAAATAGATGAAGAACTATGAGCCCAGTATGCTGGTGCTGTCTTTATCACTGTTTGCAGCTTTCAGTCTGAATTGTAAAATCATTTTTACTGTTTCCCAACTGCTCTGACCTACACAGCAAATGGAAAGTGGCTTTAAGGTACATAAAGGTCATCCTACATGTTAAACCCAGTGTTGAGAGTGATTGCTGCATTAGAAAGAGATAGCTGTCAGCAGCAGTAAGGGAATACTTCTGTATTTTGAAAATGCCTAGGTTCTCTTCAGGCTTCCTGTTGAATCCTTTAATTCATTCCTTGGGTGTTGCATCTCTGACATGAGTCGGCTCCMGTTTTCTTTGTTTTGACATTTTTCACATTTGTTTCAGATCATTTTGAAAGTCCTCATTAAGTACTCTTTCTTTGGCTGTTTTTTAATGTTTTGAGGTTGTGGRCATGTATTTTGCATTGATTTGTGGCTGTTACATGTCCTGAATGCAGATGTTSGATTTGGGATTGCGGACATATCTTAGAGACAGTTTGTTTCTTTCTAAGGTAGGTGTTTAGGGGCTGAGGAATGCAAAAGGACAAAAATAGAGTCACTTCCCTGTTGTCTTTAGTGATAGAAGTCTGGGATGGTAAAGTGGGTACAACAGCCTGGGTGTGCAGAGCCTGGCCTGCCCCAGCTGTGTGCCAGCCCTCATCCTCCACCCTTACAAACTTGTGCACTGCATTTCTCCCTTTCTGCCCTTCATTGTGGTGGAGGTAATTCAGAGACAGAGTCAAAGTCTGTCTGTTATTCTAGATAAATGCCTGTGTACATGTGTGAAGATATATCATTTGTTATATAGAAGCAATAAGGAAAATATGGTATTTATCACACTGAAAATGTGGCYTTAAGAGTGATAAATGGATCAGTTGAGAACACACATGGTATCTTTTGTGTCTAGAAATAAACACCACAGTGTTTAACCCACTGGAATGCACTGTAACTTAYAATGTATACACTGGAATGTTAAAGAAAGTACTGCTGGGGTGCTGGTTGAAAAAGAGAAATTCAGAACTTCCTCAGATCTTTTCCATAGCTCAGATACTTTCATCTAAAACAAACAAATGAAAAAAGCTTTATGAGWCTGTCTTTCACAGAAAATACAAAAGAAATTTTTTTCCTTGCATCTTTGCAAGGTTGTGCATAATAATTTGAAAGAAGGACTAGTGTAAACTGTTAAAAGGACAGCCCCTAAATAAGTGACCCAAATTGCTTTCCTAAGAGTCTAGAAGGATGACAGAGCAATGTCTCCTCTCATTAGCTCTGTGGGTACCTGTTTGCAGCAGTCAGGCATTTGGAACTGGAGCRTGTCCTCCATCCCTCTTGTCTGGCAGCCTTTTGGAGCCGATGTGTCTGTCTGGCAAATGTCACTGCATCTGACTGATGCTCTGAGAGCCTCACAGAGGACCAGAGCAGCTGGCTAGAGCCTCACAAACTCATCTTCTGTGTCTGCTCGTGGGTTTTACCTGTCTTCAAGCTATTTTGAGTTGTTTAGATGTGTTTGTTCCTCAAAAAATGCCTGATTCGATCAAGCACATAGAATTTTAATTCTGTCTGCTGTCTYATGCAGTAGGTCTTGAATCTTGATGTCAAGAAAGGCTCTTTCTTCTGGTCTTGCTGCAACTAATGTTGTTCTTTTTCCCCCCTTTCTATTGTTCCAGTTTTTTTCTATGTTCATTTTTTTTTTTCTTCTTCTTGCCTCTATCTTTGACTTTCTCCACAGAAGTTTGCAATAACACATAGAAAAAGTCAGGTGGAATGTTTCCTTCAATACCTTATTCTTCAAGATTCTCTTGATGTTTCAGAATGGATCCTGCTTAGTGCATGCATATGTGTAGACACGTGGGTATTTAGTTCCTGCTTTTGGCAGTAAAGAGAGTGCTCTGTACTCTAGATATAAATAATATGTATTTGTCCGAATTCAACTTTTATTRAGTTAAAACCTTTCTGATACTACTRTCAGCAAAMATTTGTATTTAGTGTTGCTTGTTTTACTGTGCTGCAGAAGTTGAGATAAATACAGCTTCCTATATCCTTCTTGCATTAATGAATTTGCATGGCCTCTTGTCTCGGCCTTTCTCCAAATACYGTACAGTTTAGGAAATTGTTTAAACCTAGAAGTATCTCAGAGCAGAGCTTATTTCTTGTTACTTGTCAACATGAAGTAGCAGAAGCAAAATTCATCTGCTAGCAGCCCTAGCATTGCCATTTCTTCACTCTCACATACTTTGCTGTGCAGGCATCATTGCTGTGGACATTGTACAAAACCTTGCTTGAGATAAATCATGTATGTTGTAGTACACAAGGCTTAATGGATTACTTTTCCATTGCTCATTTTAAAATTAAACCCACCAGCTTCCTGTTTTTCTTGTCCTGAAGTCCTGTCTATCTGAGTTCTTGTAATTTCTAAAATAGCCTGTCAAAAAAAGGAATTCAGTAAAGTGACTAAAAAGTGACTTCTGCTTAACCTTTGATTTTATAAACAATTGGCTGAATCCTAAATAGATGAAAACAGTCTATTTTTAGGCCCTAATTTAGAGAATTGATATTTCCACATTTGCTTTGTCATAGCTGGTCGCAGTTGCTAAATTGTGAAAGCTTGTAGCTATTACAAATGCTTGGAGGATTGCTGAGTGTTCTGCCATAATGCACTAAGAAGCTCAGTGTACTGTACATTTCAATTTATAATAAGAAAGTGTAGCTGATAGCACAGACACTGAAATATTTCAAGTCTAGACTATGCCTTAAAAACCAAAGGCTATTGGCTTTGTGGYGCAGCAAGTTGGAAAATAACTGATAAGGGCAGTTGAAGTACAGCAGACTTCAAAAAGTCATGAGTTCTCTAAGCCAAGGGGGGTCAGGAGATTTCAGTCAATGCTTGCCTGCCCTGTTGGGATGAAAAGGGACCTGGTGTTTGAAAGGGCTGGTCAGTCTGGCCAAGTTTGAATGGTTTGTGAGGGAGGTCACACTTACACCCTTGTTAGATGGAAGAAATACGTTTCTGCAACGCTGTGTTTAGCAAGAAGAAATGGGATGGTGAAATAGAAAAACAAAGTTTCCTGTCTTTAGAAAATGGTAACATWGGTACTTCRCCACAGRCARAGATAATGGCCRMAAAGTTTAATGTAGCTGGTGTTCTYTTRCACAGCTCCTTTGTACTTTTGGATAATAAAAATAACTTGCTGAAGGTTTTTGARTGGAACTACATATTGCAGTAATGGGAGGAAATTATGATGTAGCTGATATTTTATTGCCCCTTTAATACCCCAATTCACCTTACAAATCAGTGTTTATAAAATCCTTCTCTTATTGCTGCTTGGGCAGAACATTTTGGTTGTATTTGCTGTTGTCATGTGTTGTTAGCTGTGGAAAAGAGGAGGAATATTACATCAAAGCGGGCTTGCAGACTTGAAGAATTACATAATTACTTTCAGTTTGTCTCTCTAACATAATGTGAACTCTGTTTTTCAGAGCCATGGTGTCATGGAAGGGGATGTACTTTGTACTTGCACTATTCTTGGGAAGTTTCTTTGGAAGTATATTCATGCTGGGCCCTTTTCTGCCTCTGATGTTTATCTCGCCAGCCTGGTACCGCTGGATCACCGACTGCATTGTGGCCACTTGGCTCACTCTCCCTGTGGTAAGTGGCAGCTTGAGCCAAGGTCTGGGCAACGGTCCATAATCCCACAATTTAGCTTCCTCGCTAACCCTTTGGATTTTATTTGATGGTTTTTAAAGCTACTTAGGCTTTTGTCTAAACAGGCCCTARCACACTTTCTGTCTGTGGAGGCTTAGGGTTTAGCTCGGTGTTGAAAACTGTGTGCCTGTTTACAGTCCYCCTCTTCTTCCACAGTTTAATTTGTATGTCAGCTAATGCTGTGTGCTAATTTTATGCTTGACATCTCCATCCAGTGTCAGTCAGATGCAGTGAAGAGTAGGTGAAACACTAGTGAACAGAAGGAGGTTTTTTTAAAYTGTAAACTTCCTAAATGAGTTGTCTTGTAAACTCTTTCTTTGGATTCTGCTCCAAGTATTTTATTAGGAAAATTATCCACTGTTTGGTACATTCTTGTGAACCTTCACCATTCTGTTACTTAGAATTTAGCCCTTGTTACTGAATTAAAGATAAATGTTTTCAGGTGGAAAAGAAGAGCTTCCCCTAGAAAGGAGGTATTCCTCACTTAAAATGCATCAACTTTCTAGCTATATGACTCTGGAAATCAGTAACAGAGCTCTTCCCTGAATTGTTCTAAAGGAAAGGCAGTATGAATGGCATCTGTCTCTTCTTCCGTTCTCTAAAAGCCAGGGACTTTGTTCCACTTGGCCATCAGAGATTTGTTTAACTTTTTCTGAAGTAAAATGCCATTTTGGTGTGCAGATGTATGTATCTTGTGGCATAAAGGAAGTTTTATCCTTATTGCATATCAAATAATTTCTGCCTTATGTGTTTTAAGGGAGTCTGAGCTGTTTCATATTCTAAAACTTCTGTCATTTTCATCATTACTAAATGTAGTGAAATTAGGAAGACAGATGTAATCACCATAGAAGAAATAGATTGTTGTTTCTCATGATGAAATGTAACTGAGTACTGATACAGTTACAAAAGAACTCTTTCTCCCTTTGTCTTCAAATTTTTTCTAAAATTTCAAGCTCCCCAAAATTCAATACTTTGATTAGTTTRATTAGTTGCCTGGGCTTTATAATTCAACTACTGTATGGTAACTTTTGCAGTCTAGAAGTTGGATTTTTAGCCTACACTAGAGCTAAACCAAAATTATTTAAATATCTTCGTGAAAAGGATTCTGTCTTTTAAGAATCTTAGGGATTTAGATTCAGGAAAGGAGTCTCAAAAAGGTTTTGCATCCAACCATTTTGAGGCTCAGACCTTGTCTGCTTTAGTTTTCTATCCTTACTGCATTCTTAGTCAGGAGAAGCAAGTTCTTGGTTTGTGTCTCCAAACAATAAAGTGCTGTTGTACCAGTTGGACTCCCAACAGGGAAACTCTGACCCTGACCTCTGTGATGTAAGAAATTTCCACCTTCCTCACTCYGCTAGCACATTTTATTTCCTTTCTAGGAGTGTCAGCAGGGTGGGACGGTGAGGTGGGTCTCAACTGTTTCAGTTTAGTTTGGCATATACRAGGCACAGAGTTGGCAGAAATAGGAACAGAAGTTATTTTACTTTCTAGGGCTCTGTTTAAATCCCTAGTGTTTGTTCTTTTTTTTTTTTTTTCTCTTTGAGGAAGAATGGGAAGAGAAGGTAAGTAGGTAATTTGAAGGCCTTTTTATGTTAAGGCCCATGGAGGTCCTGTGGTGTTTTGCTGGTTTCTTTTTCTGTGCTGACTGAGTTGGACAGTGTGCTGGCAGTGACTCTGACCATAAGRGCAATAAATATTTGTGCAGCCAATCTCTCCTTAGATTACCTGCCAATTTATAATCCCTACTGACTCACTTATATTCCTACATGATAGTATTCCTGGAAAACCAGGGAGAGGTAAGTTTAATGCAGTGATGGTAATAGAGTGCTTTTTAAGAAGTGCTGTTTAATTGTTGTTTCCTCTTCCATTAAACAGCTATTACTGCAAAAAAGCTGRCTGCTTTATTAGGAAACAGTCAGAAGTTTGTTTACCAGTTGTGAGTGAATAAGTGAAATTATATAATTCAAATTAATTTTTATTGCTAATRGGGTGATGCTTTTCTTCTGGGAGTAAAGCCATAATACTGAGATTCTATTTCTAGGCCTTGCTGGAAATGGTGTTTGGTGCCAAGGTGGTTGTCACTGGAGATGGATTTGTTCCTGGAGAAAGGAGTGTCATTATCATGAACCATCGCACACGAATGGACTGGATGTTCCTGTGGAACTGCCTGCTGCGATACAGCTACCTCAGACTTGAAAAAATCTGTCTCAAATCCAGTCTCAAAAGCATTCCGGGATTTGGTATGTCACTAAACCATTTCATTTGAAAGGAAAGTATGTTTAAATTATGTCCAACGCAGTTCATAACCTGCTAAATGACATAGGTTTAAATTCTGTTTCAGTATTTAAAAAAAAACTTGTGTAAAATATGTGGCATGTAGAGCAATTAAACCATAAATCTCTAGAGGACACCTGGATTACATGCCTAAGCATTTCTTTTTTMAGATATTACGTGTGCTGCTGTTGCTTCTAGGTAAAAATATTTCTGCTTTACATATTGAAAGCTTTTTTCAAGATGATGAAAAATGGTTTTCAATTTTTTCAAAGCCTCTTTCAACATTGTGGTTTGGGTGCTATTTCACCCCACATTGCAAATGCTCTCATCAAGCTTCTTTCTTCATTATCCAATGTATATTATKGTGAAGATTAGGGGGAAAAATGCTCTGTAGGCAATTGCAAAGTTAATGGTTCATTTTAATAACTAATTTTAAATTGAACTTGGCTATGCAAAATATGCTGTACAGGATATGAAATCATCAGGATTTACAGTGATGTAGGCTGGAAACAGATCAGAGTTGCACGTATTCAGAGAAATCATTTCAGATAGACCAAAAATYGTTGCACAAATAGTTTCTGAATAAATAGGCAGACTTATCTGAAATAAAAGCATCTCTGCATTTTATTTATCTGTTAAATTTATTTGCTYGCTAGTTTTATACAAAACTACCTTAGGGAGGATATGCGTCAACTTTATGATGTCGAAAGAGTAACCTTATTTATGGTTGCCTTTTGTCAGGCCATTTATCTGAACAGATAATTTTGGCAGGATTCCATACTGAGGGGCTCTCCTCCTGTTGCATTTTATTGCATTCACTTTTGCATTGTGTTGCATTCAGTTCTCTTAAGTAAGGTCAACAACTAGGTAATGTACTTTTTTTTTCCCTAACAGCCAAATGTTAAGGTCAATTTTACTTGACAAGAGACAAATCTCTTTTAATGTGRCAGGAGATGAGAAAATACATATTTGGGTATCTTTATTACACAGCAGAGATGCTTTGAAATCTTGGAATCAGCTTCCTATGCAACTTTTTAAAGCAATGATGGAAGATGAAATCAGGAGCATAATGAGGAAGATTCATAGATTTCTCTCTTCAAAACTAACATTTGTTTTGTTATTWAAAAAATATGTATGTGTGCTTGTTAATGCCTTTAATGAAATCAGAAGGTCAGSTCCAGGGGCTTGGATACTAAGCTAGCCTGGCAAAATTTGTTTTCTGAAAGTGTGTTAGGAGCTATTTAGAGATTGATTTTTTTTATTTTTTAAAATTCAATTCTCAGTTCTCTGCATAAACTGAGCACATTTCATAGATTTGATGAGTGGGCTCAGGCAGATGGACCTTTTTTAGGTCAATATTARCAGATCATGATGCCATCTTTGCTCGTAGTCTGATGTAGTAGCTTAAGCCACTAACAAAATTCTGGGCTCATGCTCCACTTTGTAATGTAGAGGTGACACAGGCAGACATTTGCTCCTGTTGTTTGTGTTACAGGATGACAATTTCTGGTGGTAGAGTGGACACCTGGGTCTGTAGTATTGTAAACCAATATTTTATGCCAGATCCCCAAGAACCCTTCACAGTATGTGGACCTTGAGGACTGGTTCCATTATTGTGAATTATAGCTTATTTTTCAATGAATTGTTAATGTTGGGGTATTAATCACAGGAGGGGAGTTCAGCTAAACTGCATCCTTCACTCAGGCCATGATTTTATGTCCTAAAATTCTGAAAGATAAGCTTCTGTTTTATCATGGTGTATTCTAAAAAGAGGYCTTAGAAATGTGTGTCTCTGTGTTCAGTCAGGCTGTGTTTCGGGTGGTAGTTTCTTGCAAAAATTAAAGTATTCTGTATAGCCATGTAATTTGGGGATTGTTGGAAAGTGAGACTCTTGGATTAAGTGAAGATGGATGGAAAAAGATGAATCTGTGTAMATTTTATTGGGGCAGTACCGCTGCAGAGAATGGTGTGTAAAGAGGACAACCCTGAATCTCATCAGTGACAGTAGAATTTCTCCTCTTGGCCTATCTTATGTGATAGACCCTTAATAAGTATTTTTCAGGTTTGGAGTTTGTTTTTTAAGTTGTGCCCTATGTGTTTTAACTAAAAGCTTTATTTTTGAGCTTGTAAAAGCCAGAAGATCACTTGGAAATCAACCAGTTTTAGTGCACTGCATATTTTAGATGTTGATCATTTAAGAGATAATGTTTGTGGATATTCAGTGAGCTTCTTCCATCATGTCTTTCAGTTTTWTCTTTTCATATATTTGTATGGATTAGTTGTATTTAGTCGAAAGTATAGGATTAGAGAAATTTGATACACTGCCTAAATGTAACTTCTAATAAAGCTTAACCTAGTGGTAATCATGCTTTGTGTTTCAGAAATACTTGAGTGAATATACAGTTTTTCTTTCAGTGCAATATTTTTGTGATCTTTCAAGGGCTTTTTTTTTAACAAGTATTACATTTAAAATTATATTTAGGATCAGGTTTCTAATGCAAACCTTTCATTTCCATGTTTGTGAAAGCCTTGCTGTATTTAGCATAGCACTTGTGTTGTCATAAGTTGTTTCCCATTTGGGTATAAAAATAGGTCTGTGAGAGATTATGCTCTTTCAAGTGGCATATATGATAGGTGAAGGGCAAAGCTGGGAGTGGAAATAGATCCAGAGTTCTTGTGGCCCCCTTTGTAGGTTAGAAGTGTAAAGGTATCAGATTTAATGAGTCTGTATTACAAGTAGGCAGTTATTTTCTAGTTAATTATAATTAAAATCAGAGGATTCAGTATTTTAAGGAAACACATTGAGTCATTTATCTAGTTCTTAAGTTATTAATTCTTTGCATTCCAGTGTATGAAAAAGCCCCTTAAAATTGATTAAAGGTGATCTTTAAAAAAAGCAGTCAAAGAAAAACAGATGGTCCTTTCTTCCTGGAACTGTAGCTTTGGCTTGATGAATTGTGTGCAGTAAAGTTTTCAAAAAGAGATATTACGTTTCAGTAATCTCAATTTCAGAAACATTCTTGCAGCATTTCAGTACATCTTGCCAAAGCTGGCGTCTCCAGGGAGCACTACTCTGCTCTTGGCTGTTGCTGCAGTTTCTCATCTGACATCATCAGAAGCTACTGACACATTCTGCAGTATCAGTTTTCAAGGAGAATTTCTAATGGCATTGACAGTTTCCTGCACAGTCTGACATGGCAGGACTTCTCTACAGTGCTTGTAATAGATAGGAACAATTAATATCCTCATCTGTTCTCAATTAATACTACAGGTAATGGTGCAGTTATGTTCAGAATGTGCTATGGAATAAATACAGTCCCAGTAGGTATCAAGGAACATACAAGGTAGTGTCAGATGACCACATAATCAATAGAAGAAAGTTTTAATTTTTTTCTTAATAGCTTCATTTGTGAAAGTCTTGTTGTGATAACCAGTAAGACTTCACTGGACATAGATAKGTGTTTTAATGATGGATAATTTGAATGTGTTGGTTGAGCTAACAGTAATATTTCGATTTTAGTGGTTAAATGGGCCTCAACAGGTATGTGAAAGATAAATTAAAATTTGGGTTTAATTTGAGCATTATCAGATAAAATTATGGAAAAGTGAGAGAGRGTGACCAGAGGGACTAGTGTCAGTGCATGGCTGCTATATGAGATAATATTAATTCTAGTTTTGYTTAATGCAGATGGAAAATATCAATATCATTATCAGTGTACAAATGTAAAGTATRCAGCTGTTGCAGGCACCATTGATGGACATATCTTGAAGACTTCCCTGTTTTGAAAAGGCTCACTGAGACTGCTAAAGCAGKCAATTATAGTTGAAGCAGACTGGGACAGGAACAGGTATGAAATGGACACAGKGATGAAGAAGAAAGAGGAGAATAAGCAAAGCTGTCAAGCCTGGAATAGTTAGGAGCAGAGATAACTGAGTAACTGTCCAGGTCCTCATCTCTGRATTCAACTTACTCTGTGACTAACATTGCTCTCAGAGAAGATTGCAAGATGTAGGAGCTTTTTCGTAGACGTTTTTCACTCATCTGTTCACTCACGTGTTGTAGCTCTCAAAGGCTCAAGTTAAGTGCCGGGGGGAAAAAAAAAGGACTTTTGCTCTATTTCAGCATTGGGCTTAGCCCCACCAATCTTTTACTACACGTCAGTTGATCCATTATAGCTGTCCAAGTGAGCGAGCCTCGCCTGAAGCAAGCTCAAAGTAATTTGAGTCATCTTAGTGTTCAATGAAGCAGGGCAAAACAACTCAAATTATCCTGCCTTTGCCACGGGCTAAGAGCAGGCACACCGACAGCTATGATGGATCAGCTACCATGAAGTAAAATATTGTTGTCACTAAGCCTAGAAAATTTTAACACTTTACTCAATTGGAGTGTAGCTAAAGCAGCACGCTCTGCAGGATCAGTACACATTTATATTGGCATGGAAGTGTTTGTGCTGCCACATCTACTTCCATAGGTAGTGATGGAAATGTTTTGGCATAAAGCTTCTTTGTTCAGGCTATGGCTGGATTTACATTAAAATTCTTACCAATAGAGCATATTAGTTAAAAAAACTAGAACTGTAACCTGCTGAACTTTCCAGTACAGTTCCTGTCTCAAGTATCTTACATTAAAATGGGCTGAAATGAGAGGTTCGAGGAGCTGTGTTTTGTCTTCTAGCAATTCAATTATGAGCTGCCAGACTTAATTACCCCAGAGTTGTTATCCTATGTAATTYTGGAAGTAGGAGTTGAAAAGTATGCTTTCTAACGGAAAACACAATTATTATTCTACTAGTTATTCCTGGTGAAGGCTCTCTTGAAGAAGTTTTAAGTGTGAATGAATGTTTATTACTTTGCAGCAGAAATGCAGCTTAAGTTGGCTTTAACTTTATATGCCTTTTTTTCTTTTTTTTTGGTAGAGAAGAAAAGCTTAGGGGCCTGTTTTCCAGGTTGTCTCATGGAGGAAAGG